ACATCTGAAATAATTCACTTTAAAGGTAGATCACTTACAGTTATTTTCATATCTGTTTATTTTTTCCACTATCAAATTATTAAAAACTTCAACTTTAGATGCTTGATTTCAGAATTTTAATTTACATCATAAAAATGGAAACTGCAAAAATTGCATTACCCGCATACATTGTTCAACATATAGGTGGTTGAGTTCCATTTTCCATTCCAAATTCATCCTTTACCTTAAATGCTCTTACGGCCTTCTTAAATTCTTCATGCTTTGGCCTAAGACAAAACGGTATGATTCGGTTTTTGGTTTTTTTTTTAAATACAACAAAATGACTCAACTTGTTTGAGTTTTCTCCAGACATTCACTGTGGTAAACCTAATATCAAACAAAGCTTGAAAACAAAATTGAGTCCTCAGTTACGTGTATTTTTAACAGCTAAGACATTGGCACAGGATCTTTAGAGTACTTCTGCCGTAGTGATTCATAATTCACTTCATAATTATTTCAGTTTAAACAACTTTACATGTTTAAAGTGTTATAAGAAGTCCACATTACTCCATCAACTAAGAGATTGTAACCAGTTTGTTCAGCTTGCACATTTTAATGAAAAAGATGTGTGTGTCAGTGTCTGCAAACTTGAAGAAACAGGTACAGTTTTTTAAATTCTGCTGAGCTGTATAGTTTAATTTGAAGGGTTTTAAATACAATTGTAAGACCCCCAGTGTAATCTTCATAGCACCAGAATTTTTTTTGTTGTTCGCCTACATCCAGTATATTTTCCCCTTATATTAGGGCTGTGAAATCCGAAGACTGTCATATTACAATACAGAAAGTACTTTTGGATTTGTTTTTGCCTAGGTCTTACAATCGTGCCCACTACTTGTGCATCCCTGAAGTGGTATATTGTTTCAGTTCAGCTGAATACAGAAGACCTTATTTCTAATCCCAAGCATAAAAATTTCTGCCCACTACTGGGAGGGTAATTTTTAAACCTCAGACTTGAATACAAATCTAGACAGATAGCAGAGGAGTTAGCATTTTTTTTTTTTTTTTTTTAACAATTTTCTATGTAGTTTGGCCCAAAAGGGAAGTTGATTAAAGTAGCTCATCCTGATGGGCTTTATGTTGAGTAGGACTTGTATTGTTTTGTTTCTAAGACAGCTTTTCAGTATTTAAGATGTCTGTTAAAAGATTCTCCCTGGTCTTTATTAGATCCTGAAAGAATCTGAGTTTATTTTTTATTTCTAATGTAAATTTTGAGGCACTTCTTTTAAAGATACCTGTATGGACTTTTTCACTTTATGGTGTGAATTTGCTTACCCTGGTTTGATGAACAACATGAAAAGAGATCTAAGTTCCTCAGCGATGAAGGCATGCAGCAGCATGTGCCGACTCCTCCATACTCGATCACTGCTGTGGAAGAAAGCCCACTTCTGTGGACTGGTTTCTGCAGCCGTGTGAGGTATGGTCACAGTTTGAGATCATCCACTCTCACAGACAAGCAGCAGTATTTGGCCTTATGACAAGCCATGTCAGCCACAGGAGGATGTGGGGTTCCAGCCCAGCAGCTGGAACCTCTGCAGCAGCTATTTCCAACCTTGTATCCATGTCATAAATACTCAGGAGGCAATATCCCTCCAGCCCTCTCTGCATCATAGCAATATTTCTGCTTCTGTACCCAGCTATGTGCTGGAGCTGGAGCGCGTATCAGTTGTGAAGGTAGCATTTTCAGCCCAAACACCCTTTTTTCTTATCAGAGAAATGGGAAACCCATGGGCCACACTGGTATAAAGCATATACATCCTGATTTCACCACAGGTCTTGCAAAAAACATAAAATTAGTGAGATACTAAAAAGGCTGTTTAAACAAAGTTACTTAGTTGTCATGCCCTGCTTTACCCCTTCCCTCCAAAAAGCCCTTCTTCCTGGTCTGAGTGCTGAGGTTACTATAAATACAATAATACATGTTGTTTTTTTACTGAATGCAGTCTTTTCAACATTATTTGTATTTATTGTATTCAACATTATTTGTTGAAAAGAATACAATGGACAACATGTTTTTGGAAAGACAAAGTACTTCTGTGTTTTAAACACCTGCCAATCTGAAATGTATCGTGGGTTTTTTTTCCCTACTCTGGTGAATAATTTTGTGTTTGGATACCTGCAGTAGCAAGGGAATCTTGTTCTGTTCCACAAATATTTTATGTAAAGGAATGGGCCAGCTTTCATGATTATGCAGTATTTAGTAATGCAGATACTTACAATGAATATTTTGCTAAAGAACTGTAGCAGCTTTTTTGGTTTTAGAGAGAAAGTGTTTTTGTAGTCTTTGAGGAATATGTCAAATCAACTTAATGATAAAGCTTGAAAGAGTAAAAAATTAAGTTTTACTGAAAAAATTGAGGTTGCGCCAGCCATCACAGTAAGCATTTCTTTTCTTGACGAAACTGCATGGAATACCTAATTGTCAAACTTCTACAGAAGTCGGCTAACATATCCAATGTACTCTTGTATCAAAATCCAATGAAAAAGCAAGACAGATTTCTTTTTTTCCTTTTTTTTCTTTTCTGCTTGGCTGCAAAACACTGCCTTTCTCTGCCTCTGATTCCCTTACTGCTTTCTTCTTTGTTTGTAAGTTCAGCATACGTCAGTGTCGTTTCCTCTTTTGCCCCATCCTACCCTCTTTCCATCTTCTTCTGCCTTTTAGGTGTTCAGTATGTTTTTGGAGACACTGGTGGACTTCATCCAGGTCCATAAAGAAGATCTGCAGGACTGGCTGTTTGTACTGCTGACACAGCTGTTGAAAAAAATGGGTGCTGATTTGCTTGGGTCTGTACAAGCAAAAGTTCAGAAAGCACTTGATGTCACAAGGTAATGAGTTCTTAAAAAAAAAAGAAAATAAAAAAAAATACTAAAAAAAATACTAAAAAAAAATACAAACCCTCATGCTACTTCCAAGTTACTGGTTTTTTTTTAGTGTGCTATGAGATTCTTGGAAAAATTCAGAGCTAATAACAGATTGTGAAACTTCAGTAAACCTCACTGCTTAAGCATTTTGGTTTCCTAAATGACTCTTAGTTGAAAGGGTTTGAGTCCTTAATGCTGAACAATTAATATGATGCTACTTATCTGACTCCAAAATGTACATCTGAGCCATGTATGTTTGTTGTCTTGCCTTGCGTTCAGTGATGCAGTACTTGTGTTTGAACTTCTTTATTTTGATATAAAAATATTGTTGCAATATTCATCTCTCAGTGTTAGCAGGCTTTTAAGGAGTTATGGCAACAATGGATTTGCTTTCTCTTTCCTCCACTCTCCCCAAACTTAACTAATAGCCTGCTTCCAAAATGATCTTACGTGATTTTCGGGGCCATCAGAGCTGGCCATGCCTGTTAGTTTTATTTCCAAATAAAAGCTAGATTTTTAAGTAGAGTTGGAGGGGCCCTGGGACCTACTTCTCATCTTCCATTCTCCGAAGTACGGGACAGTCTAAGCGGTCTAGGCCTCTGCTGAA